TGCCATTGTACTCCAGCCTGGGCAACAAGAGCGAAACTCCATCTCAAAAAAAAAAAAAAAAAGAAATGGGCAGTCACAGACAAAATGTATTTCATTAACGCTGCCATGCATTTTTCACATCTTTCAAACAGAGGTGCATCTTAAAATTGATATTGTAAAAACACTGTTGTCAGAAGGCAGCCACAGTGTGATTGTCCTCATATGCACTTTCATTAACTTGGTCAAAAATCCTTCTGGCCAGGTGCGGTGGTGCATGCATGTAATCCTAGCACTTTGAAAGACCAAGGTGACAGGACCACTTGAGCCAGGAGTTCAAGACCAGCCTAGGCAACATAGTGAGACCTTGTCTCTACAAAAATATAAATAAATAAATAATAACCGGGTGTGGTGGTGTGCTCCTGTAGTCTCAGCTACTTGGGAGGCTGGAGGATTGTTTAGGCCTGGGAGGTCGATGATGCAGTGAGCCATGATTGTGCCACTGCACTCCAGCCTGGATGGCAGATCAACACCCCATCTCAAAAAAAAAAAATCCTTCCATTGCCATCTTCTTTTGATATCATCAACAGAAATACTTGCAGAGGGAGCGTCAGTAGATTGGAAAGAGGATCTCACAAAGAGGACTCTGAAGAAATGTAGCATGGCAAACTTCTCATGATGACAGAGGATCATAATTTGAGGGAAACTCTAGGATAAGGACTTGAAAAGTGTTTCAGATGAGTTTGATCTGAATGGGAGAAATTTTAGGAATAGCTTTGTTAATGTATTTGCTTAATTTTTTTATATTATATAATTATAGGAGTGAGACAGGCAAATATCCACATTTACATAAGTTGATTTTGTTCAATAATTACAAAATAAAAATTCTAAGAGATGAAAATGATTTGTGTCATAATTCATCAATGGTTTTATTCTTCACTGTAATATATAAAGTTAGGATCCATATTACAATTGACGCAAATTATGCACCTTGCAATACTTAGACAAAGCTGTCAGTATTAACAAATATTGAACTAGTAGTTGTCTTGGACCTTCTGTTAGCCTATAGGCCTTATGTATCATTAGTTCATTCAAGCCTCTCAACCCATTAGTTCATTCAATCCTCTCAACCTCTCAAGAGGTAGGAACTATTACCACTCTCATATTCCAATCTGAATCTGAGCTGAAGCCCTACAAGAAAGAATTTTTTTTTTTTTGAGACAGAGTTTCACTCTTGTTGCCCCAGCTGGAGTGCAGTGGCACAACCTCTGCTCACTGCAACCTCCACCTACTGTGTTCAAGTGATTTTCCTGCCTCAGCCTCCTGAGTAGCTGGGATTACAAGTGCCCACCACCATGCCAGGCTAATTTTTGTTTGTTTGTTTTTGAGACTGAGTTTTGCCCTGTCACCAGGCTGGAGTGCAGTGGCACAATCTTGGCTCACTGTAACCTCCGCCTCCCAGCTTCAAGCAATTCTTCCATCTCAGCCTCCTGAGTAGCTGCAACTACAGGCGTGTACCACCATGCCTGACTAATTTTTGTATTTTTAGTAGAGACAGGGTTTCACCATGTTGGCCAGGATGGTCTCGATCTCTTGACCTCGTGATCTGCATGTCTCGGCCTCCCAAAGTGCTGGGATTACAGGCGTGAGCCACCACATCCGGCCTTGTTTTTTTTTTAAGTAGGGACAAGGTTTCTCTATGTTGGCCCGGTGGGTTGAGAACTCCTGACCTCAGATAATCTGCCCACCTTGGCTTCCCAAAGTGGGATTACAGGTGTGAGCCATAGCTCCCAGATAGCAAAGAAATATTAATAGAAGGTCCTGGGTCTGATTCAATCTGTCTCCGGAGTCCTTGCTCACCGGATATTAGAATATGTTTTTTCTCCTACATGGAAGATGCGTTCTAAGTCTAGTTTCAGAAGTAATACCCTGCCCCATATTGTGAAATTATTGTCTTAAATTAGATTCTAAAGATTGTATTAAATTACTTTTATATTTATATCTGTGATACACCTGGAATTGATATTTTGAGTAATAGTAATGTGAGCTCAAAAAACAGATTTTTATTTAGCAGCAATGTATATTCAATTTCTTAGAATATTTATAGAAAAATCCATTTTTTCCCCATTGATCGTTCTTATAAATTATTTACTTACATATGCATTCATTTGTTTTGAGCTCTCTTTTCTTTCTTCATTCATTTCTCTTTGTGCAAATACCACACTGTCTTAGTAAGAGACTTCATTGAACTCAAGAAGTTTTATTCCATTGCTTTTTCTCTGAACCACCTGGCTATCCTGAAACAATTCATGAGAAAAGTTAAAAATCTTTATGCTTTCTACCTATAACAGTTATGCCTAGCTTAACTTTTTGTTTTGTTTTGAGACAGGGCCTCACTTTGTTTCACAGGCTGGAGTACAGTGGCATGATCATGGCTTAATGCAGCCTTGACTTTGTGGGCTCAAGCGATTGTCCCATCTCAGCCTTCCAAATGCTCGGACTACAGGTGTGTGGCACCACACCTGGCTAATTTTTTTTAAAATATTGTACAGATGAGGTCTCACTGTGTTGGCCAGGCTGATCTTGAGCTCCTGGGCTTAAGCGTGTCTCCTATTTTGGCTTCCCAAAGTGCTGAGAATTACAGGTATGAGCCACCATGCCCAGCTCCCAGCTTAACTTTGAATAAACAGGTATGTTCAGAACATTAGAAATTGGTATTTCACTGCTGTCTCCATTGTTTTGTGAGTCTTAAGTCAATATTCCCATCATCCCTTATGGCATCATTTTTTTTAAGTACCTTCTCAGTATTATTTGGTATGTCCTTTTACTTTTCTTGCTTTCTGGAGCCTTAAGGACTTTATTTTTCACTGTACACAGCTTATGGAGATGGGAACCTTCACAAACATCCCTGGGTGGCTCCTGCACAAGCTCAGGTGATGCAGTGATGTGGCCTTCCTTCTCCAGACAAGGGATGCCAAGAACTGGGGAGCACTTGGGTATCATTGATAGTCTTCCTTGCTTCAAAATCTGTTGTCTCTGATGTTAATATTGCTATTCCTGCATTCTTACAAATAGTGGTAGCATGATATATTTTGTTTTATGCATTTACTTTTTAAACTTTAGATGTTTAATTTTTGGGGGGTACATAGTATATATATTTATTGGTTACATGAGATATTTTGATACAGGTATGCAATATATTAATCATGTCAGGGTAAATAGGGAATCTATTAATTTATATGTGTGTTTTATTTAAAGTGCATTTCTTTTTTTTTGCAACAGAGTTTCTCTCTTCTTGCCCAGGATGGATTGCAATGGCACAATCTTGGCTCACTGCAACCTCTGCCTCCCAGGTTCAAGTAATTCTCCTGTTTCAGCCTCCTGTGTAGCTGGGATTATAGATGTGCACCACCACATCTGGCTAATTTTGTATTTTTGGTAGAGATGGGGTTACACCATGTTGGTCAGGCTAGCCTCGAACTCCTGACCTCAAGTGATTCACCCACCTTGGCCTCCCAAAGTGCTGGGATTACAGTGTGAGCCACTGTGCCTGGCTGCATTTTTCTATACATCTAAAATTATTTCAAAATAAAAACATGTTTTAAAAGTACTTGTTTGTGCCAAAAAACAAACACAAAAGAAACAACAACAACGAAAACCTTTGACAGAGGATGAACAGAGATGTCAGGAGAGAATGGCAAAGCAATTTGTCTGCTATCCACCGTTCCAAACCCAGACACACCTACTTCAAGAGAACTCCCACAGTCCCTAGGGACTCCCCTCAATTTTCTCCCTTCCCGTAAAACTCCCCATTACACAGTCACCATTTTGTGTCACTAACTGCTTCTTTAAAGATGGTGGCAGTGTGATTTGCTGCCTTCCTCCCCATCGTGTGTACCTATGCAACAATCTTGCATGTTCTTCACATGTACCCCAAAACCTAAAATGCAATAAAATAAATAAATGGGAAAAAAAAAAGATGGTGGCCTGTGCCTCCCATGCCTCATAAAGCCCCATTTTCAGACACTGGCAGTGTGTCCGCTGGATCCACTAAAGACTTTTTGAAAGACATGGCTTTCAAACATTAGAAGCTACCACAATATTAAGACATATAAGTGATAGGGAATGTATATCACAATTCTGCATTCAAGGGTATCTTCTTGGTACAGGGATTCCTTTTATTATTGTAATTTAGGTTCTGGGGTACATGTGCAGATCATGCAGGATTATTGCATAGGTACATACATGGCAAGGTGGTTTGCTGTCTTCATCCCCCCATCACCTATATCTGATATTTCTCCCCTCATTATCCCTCCCCACCCTCCCCAACCAGTTGTCCCTCCCCTAGTCCCCCACTAATGACAGCAGTGCTTGATGCTCCCCTCCCTGTGTCCATGTGTTCTAATTGGTCAACACCTGCCTATAAGTGACAACATATGGTGTTTGGTTGTCTGTTCTTGTATCAGGTTTTAAAAGAAAAATGTACCTTCAAGCCTTTGAGAAACACCTTCGTTAATTAATCTTTTTCTTCTGCAGACACAATCATGAATTCTCTGGGACCGTACACTCTGTTGACACTTAACTTATGGATTTATATTGAACGTTGCCAAGTCCAAAAGCCACAGAATACATATCATTATGGTACAGGTAAGTAGAGTACATACATAATAACAACAACATGAGATCTTGTTGTTTAAAGGTGTGTGGCAGTTCCCAGCCTCTCTCTTGTGCCTGTTCCTCCTCCACCTTCAGTCGTGATTGTGTTTTGAAGCCTACCCGGAAGCTAAGGAGATACCAGCATCATGCTTCCTGTGCAGCCTACAGAATTATGAGACATTTAAACCTCTTTCCTTTATAAATTGCATGATCTCAAGCATTTTTTATAGCAATGTGAGAATAGACTAACAGAAATGGAAAAGAAGGAAAATATAAATATGTAATTGTTCCGGATGGAAGAATTATATTTGCAGTGCAGCTGATTGTATTGCTCATATGTCTAAGATTAGGGTATACATTTCTGAGATACAGATTTTTCTGTCTTCAGGAAATTTCACTCAAGTGAAAACCTTGAAGTAACTCTTTACCATCTCTATCTTCCTTCTCAATGGACATTTTGAACCATAGTCTACAAAGTTACCTTTCCACATATGTTGTATTTTGTTATCTGGAGTTTACTCATGCCCCCTCATTTTCTTTCTCTGCTTTACAAAGCCTTGGGAACTTTGTGCTCCAGCAGCAACAGGGAGCAGATCAGGAGCCTGCATAGACATCCCTGCGTGCCTCTTGCACAAGTACAGACTGCCTGGTGACTGTGGTCACTTCCTCGAGACTGTCCCATCAAGCACGGAACACAGCAGGCACTGCTGAGTTCACAGCCTCTTTTTTGGGTCTGCCTGGCTAGCAGCTACCAATCCTCCCTCTGGGGCCCATTGGAGAATCCAGTTCTTTTGTACAAAGATCGAGTTAGTTCAGCAGTCATTCTGCTTGCTGACCAATGACACAATGACTACAAACCTTGCTTGTTATAATTTCGTCTTGTTTTTTGTTTTGGCATTCAAAGGCTTTTAACATTTGTGTATAGATTTATTATTTTGGCATCATCTACAACCAAACATATGTTTTTGTATTATGTATTTTGTATTGTGCCTTTCATCCTACCTTTCACAATGCATTTATAATCATTTTTCCGCATATCTTTGCAATTATTTTCACCCTTTCATTCATTACTCTTTATTAAATTAAATGGGAATATCACTTTTATTAGGAAAGACAGATGTTACACATTCTCTATTTTATCATTTTCCAGAAAAGTTCTCTAGTTGAAAAGAAGAGAACAGAGATTTTTCTGGGAACCACAAGACAAAATATGCTGAAAATATCATGAGGAAAAAGAGATGTGACTGTTAGTACTATATAATTTAGTTTGTTCTGGTTTGGAAATGTTAAAAATTATTAATTTTTATAGACAGAACATTAAGATACCATTTTTCTGGATAGGCATTTTGTTAATATGTATGTTTGTTTTTCTCTTACCCCAAAGTTAGAAACATTGGCTGGACTTTCTGATTCATTCCAAGCAGTTCTTCTAAAAGTATTCATGACATATCTCTGTACAGATGGCTTATAATATAGGTATGTATTATTTTCCTACTCTTTGATAAGTGAATATTAAAAGCATCTTTAGTTTTCAATTTTAAAACACCACTCAGAAGATGTGTACATATATGTTAGGCAGCATATAATTTTATAGAGGATAAAATATATTAGAATATATAGTAGAAATGGTATGGTAGAAAGGGAGTTGAAACATGTTTATTTTATTTTATCAGCTATAAATATTTTTAAAAAGCTTTTTGTGCATATGACTTTTAGATGATCAGAACCTTTTGTATTACTGTTAAACCACTATATGCATGGGGGTCACAGGAGTACAGCACAGACAAGTCTTCATATTTTCTGATGCTTTGGTTCAAAGGAGATTCAGAAAATGTAACCAAAATTAAACTGTAGGTAGAAGAGCTGCCCTTGGGAACTAAGGGGACAGGCATCAGGCCTGGAATGGGATGGACAAGGGGGGCCTCCAGGACGAGGAGCATTTGAGGAGATGCTGGAAAGTGAGGAGCAGTGAGTCCAGGAAGAAGGGGAGGGAAAGAGAAGAGGAAACAGTGTGTCCACAGCACAGGCCAGGGCATGAGAGGAGGGCGGTAGATTGGAAGGACCACTGGGATGAAAACTACATGAGGAGGCAAGAACAGGAAGGAAGGGCCAACGATGGGGGGACTGGACAGGGAAGGGAGGGCTGCTCCCTGTGGACTGCTATCATTTAGAAATTCTAAACTGTAGGTAGAAGAGCTGCTTCTGGGGGGAAGAATGGAATGCCTCCGTTTCTTTTTTGAAATGTTACACAGTCCACGAAGTACACTTCTCAGGAAGACTGAATGAATGAGGATGGCCCCTGCCCACTGGGAGATCCTTGGGTATTAGCAGGAGGATTGGGTCTCAGGAGGAGGGAGGATTGAGAGGGACAGAGAGGATCCCCAGGCCAGATGATGGGCCTGCTCAGGGACCTTACATGCTTTTTTTGTGCCTCTGTTGTGCAGACCTTCCACCTCACCCTAGGTACAGGTTTCTGTCCCTTCAGTCATTTGCAGGTATAGGTGGTCAGAATATTCAGTGTGGCTCACTTATGCTCGTTTTCATAGGTGCCTCACCCACATACGGGAGGCAGAAAGCAGCCCAGCAGCAAGTGCTGATGAGGGGTTCTCAAAGCTGCTCAGATGCACAGTCTGAGGCCAGATGCACAGGGAAGGCCAATAAGAGGCCTGAGGTTCTGGCACGAGGAGATGAGTGGTGGGCGATGGGCTGCCTCTACAGACGTTTCTCGGTGGACATTAGCATGTTTACCCATTTGTGTCTGGATGTCCTCCTCCATGTTCTTTGATGTTCTCATACAAATCTAATGATTTTCTAAGACTGTAACATATTTTTTTTCTCTCTTTTTTTATTGCATTTTAGGTTTTGGGGTACATTTGAAGAACATACAAGATAGTTGCATGGGTACACACATGGCAGTGTGATTTGCTGCCTTCCTCCCCTTTACCTATATCTGGCTTTTCTCCCCATGCTATCTCTCCTCAACTCCCACCCTCTTCTGTCCCTCCCCTGTTTTCCCCCAACAGACCCCAGTGTGTAGTGTTCCCCTTCCTGTGTCCATGTGTTCTCATTGTGTAACAGATATTTTAACATCATTCTTTCTGTCACATTTGCCTCTTTCCATCACGTATCTATAATTAACTAAATTTTGTATTGTCAGATTATTGATAAAACATTTGGATGTTATTTTAATTCACATATAATAATCGTGAATATTTATGGGTTACAATGTATTCAGATTTTATCTATTATGTATCCATCACTGTAATGTCAAACAGAATAATTACACTGCCCCATAGAAAACCCCTGTAATTCATATTCACCCTTCCTCTCTCCCAAGCCCCTTGTAACCACCAATCTTTTTACTACCTTTATACATTTGTGTTTTCCAGAGTGTTCTGTAAATGGAATTACACAGTATTTTGCCTTTTCCAACTTGCTTTTTTCACTTAGCAATACACATTTTATATTGGTGAAATATAACTCCATCATTGTTTAAGTATTCATTACCCTAATAACAAAGGAGTTGAGCAAATCTTCATGTCTTTCTTGGATATAATTATAGCATTTTGGAGACATGTACATTTAAGTAATTAGCCATTTTTAATTTAGATATTTGACTTTTTATTATTGAGTTAAAACATATTTTTATATATACTGAATAATAGATCTTTATGTGTCAAGGAAAGATTTTCTCCTTTTCGTTGCTTTGTCTTTTTACTTTTTGATGATATACTTTGAATCACAGAAGATTTTAATTTTGATGAAGACCAATATATCTATTTTTTATTCTGTCACTTATACATTATGTGTCACACCTTAGAAAACATTGTTTAATAATCTAATGTCATGAAAATAGGTTTCTATGTTATCTTCTATGGTTTTGGCCCATCTAGCACTTACATTAAAATATATAATTAATTCGAGTCAATCATGTATATGGTATGAGAGAGGAGTTCAACTTGCATGTACACATTTACTTGTCCCAAATATTTGTTTAAAAATATTTATTTTTGTCTCATTGAAATGACTTGGCAAACTTGAAAATCAGTTGATCATGAAGGTGTTAATTTTTGGACACTCAATTTTATTGTATTGATGTATATGTCTATCTTTATACTAGTGCCACAAACCTCATTTTTTTCTTTTACTTTTTTCTTTTTGTTTTGAAAGAAGGTCTTACTCTCTTACCCAGGCAAGAGTGCAGTGGCATGATCATGCCTCACTGCAGCTTCCAACTTCTGGACTCAAGAGATCCTCCCACATCAGCTTCCTGAGTATGAGGAACTACAAGTGTATGCCACCAAGCCTGGGTAATTTTTTTTTTTTTTTTTTTTGTGACAGGATCTCTCGCTCTGTAGCCAGGTTGAAGTCCAGTGGTGCAATCTCGGCTCATTGCACCTTTGTCTCCTGGGTTCAAGTGATTCTTGTGCCTCAGTCTCCCAAGTAGTTGGGATTACAGACATGCTTCACCACACTCAGCTAGTTTTTATAGAGATGGGGTTTCACCATATTGTCCAGGATGATCTCAGTCTCCTAACCTCATGATCTGCCTGCCCACCTCAGCCTTCCAAAGTGCTGGGATTATGGGCGTGAACCACGGTGTCCAGCCACCTGGCTAATTTTTTAAAAAAACTTTTTGGTTTTTGAGACAGTTTCACTCTGTCACCCAGGCTGGAGTGCAGTGGTGTGACCTCCGCTCACTGAAACCTCCACCTGCTGGGTTCAAGCGATTCTCATGCCTCAGCCTCCCAAGTAGCTGGGATTACAGGCGTGCACCACCACACCCAGCTAATTTTGTATTTTTAGTAGAGATGGTGTTTCACCATGTTGGTCGGGCTGGTATCAAACTCCCGACCTCAGGTGATCTGGCCTCCTCAGCCTCCCAAAGTGTTGGGATTACAGGCGTAAGCCACTGCACCTGCCAAAAACTTTTTTATAGAAAAGGATCTCGCTGTATTGCACAGGCTGGTCTCAAACTCTTAACCTCAAACAATCCTCCCGCTTCAGCCTCCTAAGTAGCTGTGATTACAAGCACAAACCACTGCATCCAGCCTGTACCACTAACATTTTATTAGTGTTGCCTTGTAATTGTTTTACAATCATAAAGTGTGCATTTACTATGCAGACTTTGTTGTTCTTTGTCAAGATTAATTTCTTTGTTCTGGGTCTATTTCATTTACATATCAATTTTATAATCAACATGCAAATTTAGGCAAAAAAATTGATCTAGAATTTTGATGGGGACTGCATTAAGTCTGTAGATCCATTTGGAAAATAGTGCCATCTTGGCAATATTAAGCCTTTCAATCACTGAATATACAATGTCTTTTCATTTATTTAGAATTTAATTATTTTTGTTCAATGAGTTTTATAGTTTTCAATGTACATATCTAACAATTGCTAGTGTGTATAAATAAAATTGATTTCTCTATATTGACCATGTTTACTGCAACCTTGATGAACCCATTTTTTATTTCTAATTATATTTTGTTAGAACTCTTAGAATTTTCCATACCCAAGACGATGTAATTTGCATAGTTGACTTTCTTTCCAATTCAGATTTTTCATATTTATTTTTCTAGCCTATTTTTTCTAATTACACCCTCTAGTAAAATGTTAAAAATAAAAGTGGCAAGAGTGGACAACTCTCAAGTAAATTATGATATGTGAATTATTTGTGATTGTCTTTAAGGTGAAGAAAGTTCCTGTCTACGTCTAACTTGCTATATGTTTTTATCGTAAGTTGATTTTGCATTAAGCAAGTGTTTATTCTTCATTTTTGAGATGATCATGTGGATTTTGTCCTTTATTTTATTAATATAGTGCATGAATACTAATTTCTTTTGTATGTTGAACCAAATTTGTGTTACTGATGTAAACATCCTTGGTGATACTGTATAATTCTTTTTACATGTTACTGATTTGTTTTGCTCATGTTTTTAAAGATTTTAATATCTGTATTCATAATACACATCAATTTATAATATTCTATTCTTCAAATATCCTTAGTAAATTTCTATTTGCGATCAGGGTAAATTTGTCTCATAAAATGCATTGGGAAGTGCTGTCTTCTCCACTTTGTGTCATTTTTAATTTTTTTGAACTATTGGTAATAGATTGGTATTAATTTGTTAAAAGGTTTGATTGTGTGCACCAGTGAATCCTAGCAACAAACACATGAACTTGGAAGGGGATCCTTTTCCAATTGAACCTTCACTTGAGAGCCCAGCCCTGGCCATCATCTAATCTGGATTCCCAGCCCAGAGAAACTGTGAGTAATGTGTGTGGTTTTGAGGCACTAAGTATGTGGTAATGCAGCAACTAATAAGTAATACACCAGATAGTAAATGTAACATGGCATCCTGGATTGGATCCTAGAACCAAAGGAGGACATTACTGCAAAGCCTAGTAAAATATGTTAGAAATCTGTACTTCAGTTAAAATTTTTGTACCACATACAACTTCTTTGTTTTCCTAATGATACTATGGTTATATTAGATGTTAACATTCCAGATATCTGAAAGATGTGTAAAACTCTCTGTACTATCTATGAATATTTCTGTATATCTAAAGTTGTTTCAAATAGTAAAATGTGTAGATGTTATTTTGGCACAAAAAAAAACAAACCATAGGCAATAACTTCATGTACAGGAAATGAATGGATGTGTAGGGAGGAAAGAGCATCCCACCATTCTGAACACAGGTGCACCTGCTTCAGGAAGACAGCATTGAGCTCCAGGGTCTCTAGTCATCTTTCATCATTGCCATCAGACTGTACACTCCCCACTCACCAATTTGAGTGTTAGTAACCACATCTTCAAAGATAGGTGCTCGTGCCTTACATATTCCAGAAAACCACAGTTTCAGACTTTATTTTGAAGTGAATCTGCAGGATCCACTAAAAACTTATTGAAAGCCATGACTGCAGGATATCAGAATCCAATATTAAAAAGTGTCTATTCAGTGTTTCAACTTCCTCCTGGTTTAGACTTGGTAGAGTACCAGTGTCCAGGAATTTATCCATTTCTTCCTTGTTTACTGGTTTATGTGCATAGAGCTGTTTGTAGTAATCTCTGGCGATAGTTTGTATTTCTGTAGGATCAGTGGTGATATCCCCTTTACCTAAAGTAAAATTTAAAAAATGTCAGTGACAGGAAATATAAACTGTATTTCTGCATTCAGCAGGGTGTTTTCTATGTACAAGTATTTCTTGTTTTACATGCTCAAAAGGCAGATATACCTTCAAGTCTTTGAGAAAACTGAAAATTGTTATTTTCACTCTACAGAGTGAATCATGAATTACTTGGAACCCTGTAGCCTGTTGACATTGATATCATAGGATTATATTGTCCCTTGCCAAACCCAAAAGCCACAAAGTCGATATCATCATGGTCACAGGTGAGCTGGCTACAAAAATAAAAAAGTTTATAAATATGCTAATTTAGGGCAGTCCCTGCTTACAAAGATACAAGGTTTTTGGCAGGTGAAGTAATATGTTGATATGATTAGGCTTTATGTCCTTACCCAAGTCTCATCTTGAATTGTAATCCTCAGGTGTTCAGGTAGAGACCTGGTGGGAAGTGATTGGATTATGGAGGCGGTTCCTCCATGCTGTTCTCATGATAGTGAATTCTCAAGAGATCTGATGGTTTTATAAATGGTAGTTTTCCCTTTGCTGACACACTCTTGCTTGTGGGCTCTCTCACTTCTTCCCCTACCCCCCACTGTGTCTCTCTCTTTCTCTCTGTCTCATTCCCTCCTTCCCTCCCTCCCTTACTCATCTGCTGCCATGTAAGATGGGCCTGTTTCCCCTTCCACCATGATTGCAAGTTTCTGGAGGCATTCCCAGCCATGTGGAACTGTGAGTCCGTTACTTTTCTTTATAAGTTACCTAGTCTCAGATATGTCTTTATAGCAGTTTGAAAACAGACTAATACATATATGTTGTATACAGGTGGAGAAAACTAGATAGAAAAAACAAAAAGGCAAGCCATATAAAACATATGTTCAACCCTCCATGCCATGATCTAAGAGATGGACATGGGCTGAATGAGGATTATGCATATGGGCTGGCTAAAGAAAGAATCCCACTGCAGGGAGGACTGTCCCCAGCCTGCCACCAACAGCTCCCGCTTCACAGACCACAGCAATCTGATGAGCAGCACCAGGGTAGTGTCCAGGAAACATACTTTAAAAGCCTACAAAGTCATATGAATGCATACTGCAATCCATAGAGCTCCACAAAATCAGCATGATTCCTTTTAAAGTCTGCAATCATATAGTATATTCTCCACATGAAACCAAAAGCTTCAGTGAGAAAACTAGTTCACACTTAGAGTCTGGAGTGAGAGATACAGCTGACCTGGACCATACTTCTCGTGTCTGAGATCAAAATAACAGTTATTTTGGTGCTGTTATTTGACCATATGGTAACCCTTAACTTTTCCACACTCATCTACCTTCTCTCTGAGACATTAAGAGCCTCATTTGTGTTCCAAATCTTAACACATGGAGAATAATTTTATTTATTTTAAATGGAGACACATTAATACTTAAATGACTTGGGAAATCTCCTTTTTTCTTCACTTTGGTATGCATATTAAAATCTATTGGCATGTATACTGGAATAGTCTACCTTACCAAACTACAGATCACCAAAGAAAAGACCAGAGTGGCAGGCCATAAATGAGGCACAAGAGATCTGGACAAGGAGTGGCCCCTCAAACTGGCAAATAAAAAAAAATCAGGTCTGAGAGCTCAGACTTAACAGAAAAAAGCCAATTGACACAAAGCTGTACTGCCACGATGTTACATGACACAGTGTAGTGCACCAAGTCCCCAAACAAACCTCCAAAAGCATGGAAGATATGATTTCCCACAGTATACTAAACCACCAGATTTCACACAGATGGGCCTGGCCATAGCAGTTTTCAAAAATATATAATTGCAAACAAGCCAAACTCCTACATCACATCATGAGGCAAGTCCCCAACACACTGCACACCCTAGCCTGATTAGAAGTTAGGGTTCTTCCTGGAGCCTGAAACTGTGGGTGAATTTTTAGTCATGATTCTGAATCATGAACTATGAGTTTCTTCTTTACTCAATATATTCAAAAGGAAATGGGAAAACCAATTCCTACATCCAAGTACCTAAAAGTAGAGTTGAACAAAGTAGCAAGGGAGCATAGCAAAAGGTTTTATGAGGACCACAATGCATCCACATCCGCAGTAGCTTATAATGAGGTGACTTGTAAGTTCATCAGCCTCATGATTTAAAACATAAATGGAAATGAGGATATGGAGATACACACAAATATTATATGTTGGGAAACTGAGTTTAGAATGAAGCTTACAAAGACCATACTCATATTTCTAAAATTAAGGCAGGAATTATCAATATAAAGCTTTTTCTAAGTCTTTATTTTTCTTCAGCTTTTATTTTAATTTCAGGAATACATGTGCAGTTTGCTACCTGAAGAAATTGCATGTCACTGGGGTGTGTTGTACAAATGATTTCATCACCAAGGTATCAGCATAATACTTAACAGGTAGATTAGTTTTTTGACCATCACCTTCCTCCTATCATCCCTGCTTAACTTGGCGTGGGTGTCTGTTGTTCCCATACTTGAGCCATGTGTACTCAATAAGTCTTTAAAATTTAACACTTCAAGGAAAGCTTCCAGTAGCTCTTTATAATTGTATCTTCCTCCTTAATGAATTTTTTTTTTTTTTGAGACGGAGTTTTCTCTTGTTGCCCAGGCTGGAGTGCAATGGCACGGTCTCGGCTCTCCGCAACCTCCGCCTCCTGGGTTCAGGCAATTCTCCTGCCTCAGCCTCCTGAGTAGCTGGGATTACAGGCACGCGCCACCATGCCCAGCTAATGTTTTGTATTTTTAGTAGAGACGGGGTTTCACCATGTTGACCAGGATGGTCTCGATCTCTTGACCTCATGATCCACCCGCCTCGGCCTCCCAAAGTGCTGGGATTACAGACTTGAGCCACCGCACCCGGCCTCTTTTTTTTTTTTTAAATCACGTCTTCTACTGCTTACTTGGCCAGGTTATCCACAAAATTACTCCAGACAACCTACTTATACATCTTTTTTCAATAAAAGTTTATTGAGAACCTGTTCTGTGGCAGGCAATCCACAAGGCACTTGTGTCACAACATAAATGAACTGAAAAATTATCTGAACATAAGAAACTAAAAATCCACTGGACGAATCAATCATACAAATAAAGAGCTGAGACATAAATGGTCTTAAAGTGGCAGATGCCGTTTTGGGCTCAGATTGCTGGGGAAGGGCTGTTATGACCACTTGCCTTTCACTCCTCAGAATGGTGTCTACCCTCAGCTGGCTCTCACAGGGGTTTTCATGCTATTTAACCAGAACCACGTCACCAAACTCAAGAAGAACAAGATCTATCAACTCCTTCCATCCTAGGCCCATTTCTCATAAACATGCAGTTCTCTGCCCACAAAGTCATACCTGCAAGGGTGTCCAAGAGACCACAGGTGGGCATGGAGAGCCACTGACCGGGGAGTAAGCTGTCAGCTCATTCTCTGGAGTTTTCCTTAATTCATTCTCTTGCTTCCTGACAAGTCAATAAACAAATTTAGAAATATTTATCACAATGTGGTAGCTTACGATTCTACCAAATAAATTTTACCAAATTCTATTTTTTTTTTTTTCTGAGATGGAGTTTCGCTCGTTACCCAGGCTGGAGTACAATGGCGCGATCTCGGCTCACCGCAACCTCCGCCTCCTGGGTTCAGGCAATTCTCCTGCCTCAGCCTCCTGAGTAGCTGGGACTACAGGCACGCGCCACCATGCCCAGCTAATTTTTGTATTTTTAGTAGAGACAGGGTTTCACCATGTTGACCAGGATGGTCTCAAGCTCTTGACCTCGTGATCCACCCGCCTCGGCCTCCCAAAGTGCTGGGATTACAGGCGTGAGCCACCGCACCCGGCCCTCCTTAATGGATTTTTAAAAACTTCTTTACACTTAAAACAGACAGGAACACAGCCATGATGATTCAACACTGAGAAGTGGGCAGTCACAGAGAAAGCTAGCATATTCCATTCATGCTCTAGTGCACACAGTCATGTCTTTTCTCAGAGAGCCATCTTGAATCTGACACTATTGGCCATAAGAGAGTCCTAATGAGGTTGTCCTCATGTACAGTGACATAAACTTGGTCTAAAAACCTCCCATTGACGTCTTCAGGTGATAGCATCATCATCAAAACCTGCAGAAGGGAT